TTCACCATTTCTATCGTTAGACTTCTTCACTTACTGTCCTCTTGTGGACTCTGATGATGCTGGCACTGAGCTTCTGTTCAGGACAAAGCTGGTTTGCGCGGATGACATTGTTCTGTTGTTTTCTTATGATGATTCGGCGCAATCAGTCCTGATCAAGCTATCCCAGCGGAATCTAACTTACTGATGTGCACTCTGCGTATTCAGCTTATAAGTTGCTACTACCACAGGGCGGTCCTCCATTTGTTTGCTTTCAGAACCTTTACGACGATGAGATGGAGCTAGCTGCTTTTTCAACTCTTTCGGCATCTGCCTTTTCAATGTTGGGCCTTTAGCTGAAATTAGGTCACGTGTAGCCAAGGCTGAGACTGCTTTCTTGAATCTGCCACATTTCTGATTCCAGGAGGAGATCTCCCCTGCATGGAGAGGATCGTTCTCTACGACTGCAGTTTAGCTAGTTTTATCTACAGTCCTTGAGCCTTTTTCTCTCTATACTCCCAAGCGTTCAGATTCTTGAACGTCGTTGCCCACCAATCTTTTCTTGTGTCAGGCGACGTGAGCAGGTTCGCAACACCGAGGATGCGTGCACGAATGATAAGTTGTGGCAGTCGTGTTTGTACATTAGGTCAAAAAGTATACCTAGTTCATTGTGTCCGGTTCGGACGCGCACTAAGTGTACCTGCTCGTCAACCATTCTTCATCGTCTGCACACTCACGTTCTTTGATGTACACGGTAGGTGGTACGTCTACTATGTCAGGTCAAGTCAACTCAAGTAGGTCCCTTATGCACCCGTGAAAGGTGAATATTCAGCTCTAACACACACGTGTCACGGACAGGGATAAATAATGAAATAGAATACTGCATGGGGGGAAATATAATGTCACAATCGTCGCGGAAGGAAAAATGCTGAGGTAATTTACTAACCGGTTCCTGAACGACAACTTTCATCATGCAAAAAACGTGTACCATAGTCCCTTGTGTGGGCGTACATAGTTTTGTAGCTCTGTCTGGTCGAGAAGGTTGATATGCATTCGCCCAACACCTTGTGGATAGGGTGATTACCATCAATGAGCATGTTAGGTGCGAACTTGTAACACTAGTTAACATCTCTGGATACAATGTTTTTAACAAGTTCCGACCTTAGAAGGCCACTACGCCGGAGTATATGTTTCATTGACCTGGAAATTACTTTGCGGTCTTTACTCAGACCAGGAAAGATCACTGGATAGCAATACGTTCAGTGGTGATAAAATCCTAATCAAAAATGTGGGTACGAAAGGACTGAGACGTGTAACATAGGAGGATCCGCTAACTTTAGTGAATGTTTCCTTCACCTAAAGCGATCACGTAAGTTCAATGCTCGGTGTCACTCCAAGATATTTTGCCGACGTGGAAGTGGTCCAATCTTCACCATCGATCGAAACTTGTGGGCACTGTGTTAGTATTTGCTGGTAGCGATTTCCTTTGAACAGCGAAAAAAGGCCATCTTTGCATTTTGAGGTGTTCTACAGTAGGCAAGGGGAGTTGGATCAATTTTTGAGTTTGCCGAGTATGGTTTTTAGTTTGGCCGAAGACTCTATGCTTTGATGATGGATGCCAATGATTACGTCTTCCGCATACTTCAGAAACATACCTTCTTCAGGGATGGGGATTGAGAATCGTAAGTGAAAAATATGAATGGAAATAAAATGGCTCCCTGACGAACACCAGAAATCGTGATGTGTGGGGAAAAGATTTTCTTCAAAAACCTGATAAATTGTGTACACTTTATGAAATTATCTTTCAACAGAAGAGCAACCGAAGTTTGGTCTCCAGGATCGCGTAACCACAGTTCACAGTATACATAACCGAAATGCTTGCTAAGATCCAGAAAGCAGATGTGGATGGATTTGGTTTTATTATTTATGGACGAAAGCACAATATGTGGTGGACATGCTACTGCATCTAGGGTGGACCTTGAGCTGCCATCTGCAAACGGATGAGTGTCATCCAAATGCGTCTGGGTTGAAATTCTTTTAAGCAAAATTCTCTCAAAGCTCTACAAAGCAACCGACGTTCAAGCCATTGGTCGATATATGCAACTTCCTTTCTTAAACACTGGCGTAACACGTGCACTTCCCCAACCGTCAGCTATCTTGTGTTGCTTGAAGCACAGTGTGTGTACAAGTCGGTGAGAGGCTGTACCAGATAATCTGCACACTCCTTAAGAACGACAGGAGATAAGTTTTCCGGACCAGGTGCTTTGTTCAGTCGCAATCTGACTAATTCCCTTTGCACTTCAAACCTGTTCACAGAAGGTGTGTTATCTGAGAATAGTTCTAACTCAACAGGGGATATATCAAAGACTGGAGTACTATCCTAGTCACAAAAATTGAGGCTTAATTTCTCCACATCCGGAGTTGAATGCGTGACCTGGCGGATGACTCAGCTTAAGTGCTTCAGCATTTTTTATCTCTCCCAATAATCATTGTTTCCTAGTATGGTTTGTACGTAGATATGGTTGACGCGACGCGATTCACCTTTTATTTTCATCTATAGAGTTTACGGATGAAATAACTTTGCGCTTAAATGCCTTTTCTTCAAGCCTACGCACTCGTTTGAGACGTTGAAGCGCAGATCTATCGGAACGAATAAAAATTGCTTTATTTTGGCAGCAGGTGTCGAAGCAAAAGTTTAAGTAACTAGTTAACTGGTTACAATGTTTCGGTACGTTCGCCTCGTAAAATAAACTAAAATCTGGGAAGGTTTCACGAAATCGCTGAATGTTCTGGGGAAGGCACTGTCTCCGCTTGAACTTGCGATCTTTTAAAGGGGTAAGATATTTACGGTTCATCTTGTTATACATAACGGAAGATAACTTTACGATAGCACGCTCAGAACCTCCCAAGCGGCGCCTGATAATAAGCAGAAAGCATTTTTAGGTTGTTAGCAAATACCATGTCAAATGTTGCATCTGACCTTGTTGAAGATTGCACTACGTTCTTTAGCCCGAGGCTCTCAATGAAGCTGCTGTCAGATCTGTTCAAATCGTCGGCAAATATGCACATGAGAGTTCCAAGTAATCGGTGACCGCAGCTGTAAATCATCCGTAAAATTCTTCTTCGTAACTTCAACAGTTGAGTGAGATCTAAACAATAGCCAATAAAACCGAACAATAACCGTTCAGAAGTCTTGGTTTGCATTTTACAAGTAAACAGCTGATGCCTTGTGAGACTTAGTGAAAAATGCTTTCAATCGACGTGCACCATGATGAGTTATTGTAAATGATAACGCCACATCCACGGTTCTTCTGTGTAAACTGGCGGTCAACATGATAAGAGTGAAAGCCGTCGAGTTCCACAACATCGACGTGTAGCCAGGTTTCCAGCAGCATACTTATGCCCACGCGAGACTATTCATGTCATTCGATTACACTTTTGAGGTCTTCTAATTTTTCGACTAGCGATCGAGTATTAGCACTGAATAAAACAGTCAGGCTCATACTTCCGAGATGTTTCCTACGAAATGCAACACGCTATCCTGCGCGGTGTATTTGTGTAGAACTTCTTTGCTTCTTTTTATTTTGTTTCGAACAACTGGCTCAGGGAAACGTGCCTATTTCATGTGCATGAAAACACGCAGTATCACTTGTGTAGACGATCACGTCATTGGATGCAAAACAAATATTGAAAAGTTTAAACAAAATGGTTTGACACAGTACCGAAAAGCGTGTGTGTTAGTAACTCCTTTGGATAGGAATTATAGAGCACTGTCGAATTTGAAGGGCCCGCCGTAACATTCGATTACATACGTGTGTTGGCCTCTGTTTGCGTTACTGTCTTGACTCATCACTGGGCATCGCGTTCCTGGTGGTGTGAGCATCTTCCACAAATACTGTTGCATTGATTTTCGTTCCGTTCGTTGTTGTCGTATGCACGCTTAGAATGGTATGCAAATAAATGTCTGTGTGTGTGTGTGTGTGTGTGGAGTGTTGGTTGAAGAGGAAGATGAACATGCTCGGATGGAGACGTTTCCTGATCATGTTCAGCGTCAGTCTTAGTAATCGTTATGAAAAATGTAAAACAATCTGATATCCTTTCGTTAATTTTGCAATACCTAGTAATACATGTGTAATTTAGATAGTGTGTGATACAATCGCTTACAATAGGGCTGTTTGTTGGCTATTTACTTCCAAATGCATACTGGCTCATGCGGCCTGGTTCCCTGAGGTTCATGCCGCCCAGTTTCCTCTCTGGCATCTTACAGTCATCCAGCTTGACTTTTGCATTTAAACGCCTGGTGACTTGGCGCACACACTTGGCTGTACTGCTTCACTATGCTTAATCTCGTTACTACTGTAAATGTACAGACTGGGATTTCTCGATTATCATCATGGGTCTGTGTTTCGGGCTCATTTGCACGTATGATTTGCTTTTAACTACGGTGTTCAGCTTTGGTCCACATTTCGACGTACTATCTTAGGGTAGATCAGAATTCACGCTCTCTCTCAATAGCATAAGCTACTCTACGAGTTTAATACTCCAACACCGTCCACACTTGGTCGGATGTTGCGACTGGATGCCCTTCCTCTATTTCAACCTTGGAGAATTGATGTTGTTTTACCTGCGAGTCGAGAAGTCAACCAGATGAATGTTTCACTGCTGCATAATATGGGGTCTGGAGATTTGGGAAATTCTGTTTCTCCGTTCCTTTATTCCAATGTGCACGGTATGTTTCCCTACAATTCGCTTTTGCTTTTCTATTCTCACTTGTTTCTCATATGTTTCTGCCTTTTTCAACCTTCCCCTGACGTAATCGACCATATATGACCAATTCTGTTCTCCGCATTCTACCTACGCACACCGAAGTTGCTGAGTCTAAATAAAGGATCATTTTCTGTGCAGTTGTTATATGCGTCGTACGGAACTCCCCTCTCTGTACCTCGCCATGCACTATTTCTCTGTAAGTTGTCCCAACATGTTTCTCGTTTCCAATTGCTTTTCTTCTCATCGTCCCACTCTAGATGGCGAATCAAGCTCTTCGCCAAATCGTCGCGGGTTACCGCATGAAGGCCCCCGAAGGTTGCCCGACCCAAATCTATCGTCTGATGCGTCGTACTTGGCACATAAATCCCGATGAAAGACCATGTTTCAGCTCCATCCTTGAGGAGTTACAGTCTCTATCAAAGCAGTACGCTAACGACCCTCCATTTTCCCCCACTTGGCGCGCACAAGATAGAGCCGTCGACATTCCGGCATTTACGCTCTCTTTACCGAACGAGAACCCGTGGAACAGCAAACAAACGAAACGATCCAGTTTGTTGGACCCAAAGAGAACTCTCCAAGTATGTAAAATTTGGGCCAATTCTCCTATCCTTTTACTCTTGCTATGTGTGATGGTCGTGTGCATCACGCTAGGCCATCCCGCCTCGCGTACTTTGTTGGCCATCTCACCTACACCGAAATGTCTTCCGCTTCCAGCTATTGCCCTCGTCCACGCCACCAAGTCTGACTTACACATGGTCTCAATGTACTGTACCTGCAATCTTTAGCTCCCTTTAGAAATAATCCTATTGAGAAACTCCTGCACTCATGCAATTTTAGACGACCCATCCATACTACCTCCGCATTGAAGTCTGGACTCTTTAGTATCTTGTTTAGTTCAAGACTTGTTTTGTGTTTTTTCTTTGCCTACCTGTCCGTGGTTCTACAGCCGATGCATTTTAAACACCACATGCGCTTAACTAACCTATAGCAGCAGAACTATAGTGTCCGTTAATAGAATCACGCCTCCCAAGCCGAGTGGGCACGTGTCACCTGAAGTGACGCCGATCTCTATGCTCTTTGCGATATGGAAGCAAATGTTGGTAGCTCAGGTTGTTCAGTTGGTGGACTGAGGTGACGAAACGTTTGCAGCCAACCTGCCGAGCTCAGCGAACACTCTATGCTCTTTCTTTTTCTCCTCACCTACCTCTTGTTGACCTTGTAGGCACATAGGTTACCCAAGTTTTGAGTTGCTTTACTGTTACTGCGTTCTTATTGTGAAGCTATTGCTATCAAAGTTCTAAAACCAGAGCTGTGCAAACAGCGCACACTGCTACAGGCTCTGAAATTGCCTTGGCCTTGACCTTCCTTGATCACCTGCTTCCTAACTTGACCTTCCTTGATCACCTGCTTCCTAATGCGACAATCCGATTGATCAAACCATTGATTTAGTTTTCATATTGCCTAGTTAATTAGTTGATTGCTCTCTGTACAGGCCTCTACGGGCTTTATTCTCTCCAAACGTTTTGCTTCATAATTGTACTCGCCTGATGAGAATTATCGAAAAGAATATTCTTCGCGCACTCGCTTACTTCGTTCTTATTGTATTTTTTAGTCTTCTGAGTCCTACGAAAATGTGGATAACAATCACGGTTCAACCATTCCCCGTGGACAAAGACACCATCCCTCACCAACCTCTTTGTCCTCCGTAATGAGTCGTTCTTTCACGATGACCGGTTCAGATGGAGATGTACAAAACCAAGCATCTCCGTCGTTGACCACCAGTTCAGAAGCCTCAAGACCCAACGCATTTTGTCTACCCAAATTTGAGCGCGTCCGACACTAGTAACTTGTTAACTCATCCCTTTTCCTATTTCAGCCCTTGTATCATAAAATGCCCCTTTGCCACTATAAAAAGGAAACTGATTTATTCTTCCTGATTTCCCTGTCGTAACTGCGAACCTGTTCACTGCTCCTTTGAGCTCATCCGAACTATCTTCTTCATCTTATCTACACAACCCATGATTTCACCTCACAGCCGTCGCACTCAACGAGATCATGCTGCAATATATCTTATTTGTACGCCCCCATGTTCTATCGGTCACTTGGCATTTCATAAGCCCCAGCGGCAGCCGCCATTTCAGCTCGTCCCTGTCGATTTCGCAGTCATTCCAAGGTTGCTGGGTTTACGCATTTTGCTTGACGTCGTTTTGCAAACTGGGGGACGAAGGAGCTATCAACCTCCACATCAGGATTAATGCCTAATGGGTGGCGTATAGGGCGCCTTGTTCTGTAAAAACAGAAACTTGTTCGAAATGTCGCATTGTTTCGTTCTCTGAAGTGGTGCGGTAGCGCATTGCATTCACACCATCTGACACTGCGGTCTTTTCCGTCGGTCGATGCATGTGGACAGCAAGAATACTATTCGGACTAGTTGCCAAAGTGGTGTTGTCGAACACCTGGGATGGCGTAAAACACTGCACTTTACGGAGTGCGTGTTGATTGTGTCTCGATCCTTCCATCAAATATATCACGTTGCAAGTTTCGGGTTTGCATCGCCTCGTGCTGTTGAAGGAGTTCCTTGCCCCTCTTTCTTGCGTACACGGGCCGGCTGCGTGACGAGTGGCATAACATCACTGTTGCCACGCGTTGAAAAGCTTGCTCGTTTGAGTCGCACATCTACTCGTTAAGCTAGCTTTCTCGCAAATCCCATTCTTTTAACGCCAGTTGTAAGCGGAGGGTTTCAGTGCGGCTCTCTCCCATGCTTGCACTCCACGACCGACTGTTTCGTACTGGTTTTGACTCATCAGGTATCGATAGTCGAGCTGAGAGTGGAACTCGGTGCATAGTGCTTGGCGGCCGTCGCCATGACCAATAGACCATTGAGCTCCATGAGCAGTGCCAGGCTGACTTTAAAGTCAACCGGGGACACATTTGAGATTGCGTGTTGTAATCCAAGACACACGGGGGGGTTCCAAAACTCGAAAATCAAAAGCCAGCTGTATGCAACAAAATTAGTTTGCAGGGGTTGAGTAACGCGTTTACACCGGAATCAAATCAACAACAATACCAACAGTAATACTACAATCAACAATTCACCTCATTGGCTAACAGGTTAGGTTACAAACGGCGACCGTGCTGCACGATATGTGCATATGTGGCACGTGAACCTATGCGTAGGGATAGCCACACACCTCACCGCACTGCACGTGTGTGAACGAGCTCACTGCATGGATTGCACGCAGACTTAAGCGCAAACAATATGAGGCGGTCAAATATGTGAGGAGAGCTCCACGTACGAAAATGTCACTTGGGGAACGCACAACAACATTCTGAATATCGAAAATGGTTAAGGACACGATAGGGCTACACGTAGCAGGGTGCTCGACGTACGAAGATGTCCTATGGGTATGCACAGCAACATTCAAATTATGGAGGGCGACACGTAAGTATCAAACGCAGCACGGAGGTGGCGGATGATAATTCCAGGATGTATCCAGGCGGAGGGAGATAATGTCAGGACACTGCTTAAAGTACCTCAATGCGAAGGCTGTGGACACGGGCTAGAACAGGAATTCCGATTACGGAATTTTTAGAGAGTGGTTGAATCAAGCCAAGTCAAGATAGGCTTTATGAACCTGATTGGTGACATTTTCAGCATCTTACAATAGCACTGCACACGTAACGAGGCGTAACGTTAGCATACAATTGCAAAAAGGTGTACAAAAAAGAAAACGCACGCACATCATTCAAGTAAGCGTTCACGCCTGGTACTGATAAGTTTCTTGGAGTTCACAAGAAAATGGGATAAATACGGTAAGATAGATTTGTGATTATGTGTTGTTCGAGAAAACGAAACCCTAAATTTAGGGCGGGTTTCACGAGTGGGTGAGCGCTTTAGATAAATCAGCATGAAAGGGATGAAAAGAGTCATTTCAATTATTTGCTGAAAAGTTATCACATACACTGAAGTGCTTAGTAACGATGGAGTCAACCAGAGACTTTCTGGACAATCCACTACACTTGGAAATAAGCTTAATGGAACGTGCAAACAATGTGGTCTTTTTGTAGAAGACTAGGAAAAATGGTAGGTGAGCAATATAACCAATGGAATAGAATACGGGCAGTCATGAATTTGTAAATTAAAGAGCAAGGTACTGAAACTATTGAGTCACACTACGTAGGATGATAATTTCCGCACCTTGCATAACGTTTCGTCAACGTGTGTTGACCAAGATAGCTTGTGAAATAAATATACACCAAGTTACTTGACAGTGGATGAACTGGCTGTGTTGTGATCGATTAGGATCATGAGGCAAGAAGTATTTGCCAGTCAGACGTTTGTCAAATCGGAGAACAGAAAGTTACACCATGGTACTTAGAATAAGGCATCTGGACGACGAGCACTGCTAGTGCTCGTCCAACCCGATTTGGAGAGCCGTTAATGATTCGTCAGTTGAAGCAATACTGTCTAAGCATATGTCGTCAGCGTACTTACATCCAATGAAGTTAGGGGGAATTGGAAGCGTTTCGATGTATAGAGCGAATAGAACAGGAGAGATCATTGCTCCTTGTAAACGCCCCAGTCATTATTAAGTATATGGGATTTTTTATCGTTTAGCTGGGTAAAATGAGATTAGTTTACGAAGTAGTTAGTCATCAGGTTACACCATGCTGGTTGAACACCATTCTTAGACAGCTGATTGGGCAAAATTGATCTGTGGACATTTCCAAAAGCATTGGTGTAATCAAGGAAGAGAAGCCGCTCATTCTTATATTTCGCATTCAGTGCAGATGCTATAGAGTGAACAAGGTATGCTACGGCATCCAACGTGAAACTTCTGGGTCTGTACGCAAACTGAGATACTTTCACTGCCTGAGTGCATGTTGAGATCCAAGGCACAAGTAGTCGCTCGAAGACTTACAGCATGACGGATGTACAGGCGATCGAACTGAATTTCATGGATCGCTTCTTTGGCACAGGTGTTACCCTGACAGGCCTCCAAATGTTGGTAATAATTTCACCCTGTGGGCACCGATTAAAAATATCCGTCAAGGTCATGATGAGAGTATTGGCACACTCAAGACAACTGGTGAAAGAGCATCGGGTCCGCTAGCCTTCACTGAGTTCACGCTTGACTTTAACGTGTTGGAATATAGTTTTTGGACCAGAGCAAGAGAATGAAAGGGTACAGGATACTTCATGATAATAAGGACAGGACTCAGAGTTGAGTTTTTGTACACCCACAGATCTAATCTGCCTATTGGAGATTTTACCGCATAGCTACTTTTAAAATTTCCATAGACCTCGGCAATGGTGGTTACACAAAACGGCTTCGATGCATAAATTATTCCGTTGTGATATCTCAGTTTTTCATGCTAGAGTTGTTTAACACGGGCAGTCATTTTGTGTTTGTAGGCTCGTTCTTTTTTCAAATTGTTTGAGTGATGATGAGGCGAATCTATCAATCCGTAAGTAGATGATTTCGGCTGGGCAGCGAAGATCGAAGCAAAAGTTAAGATAATCAGTGAACTGACTACACTGAACAGACAAATCTTCGTTGTAGAAAGCTGTAAAATCAGTAGAAGTCAGCATTTAGCAATATTTGAGGATGAACAATCTCGTCGCTTCACAGTTTTGAAGGGCTTATTAGCCACTGAGCCGGATTGTCTTACCGTAAACGACGAGGCGCACTTTTATGCTACAGTGATCTGAGTTATCGAGTGGAGCACATTTTTGCGTGGAAAACAGCCAGGCATGATTTATAAGAGCGAAATCTAGTTGAGCTTCAACTCTGGTCAGAAAGACCACTGTTAGTCAAATCAAGTGCTTAGATGAATAGGGTATAAATTCTATTAAGTCCCCGGCCATGACGCAGACTGAGCGGTCCAGCTTAGGTAGTGACGCCAAGGATAGATCGTCCGCAAATTTTTCAACTCTTATCTTTGGGTGTCGGGGGACACGTATACATTTCCAATAAAAACAGAAATAAAACCACTCAAAAACTTTGGCTTACATTCAAACAAATGCTAGCTGATTGCGACTGTTAAGTAGATAAAAATATGGATGACGAGCTACACCAGCCTTGATGGACGTGGGTGATGACATCCCCACTAAGATTTTGAGGCATTCCTGGGCGGTCGGATCTGATGGGAAGATAACCAGGAAGTTCCATAGCTTTGTCTCCTACATCAGCATGTAACCAGCTCTCTTGAAATATCAAAATGGCTGCATTCGAATATTTAGTTTACTGTATAAAAGCGGTGTGATCCGCCATTTTTCCAAACAGTGAACGAATATTTCTGGACAAGATCAGTGGAATTTGTGTCTTATCAACTAAGCGACATCTAAGGCTTACGTACCAGCCAGTACGGTGTTTCCTCGATTTACAGTAATGCTTCCGCACAACTCGTTAAAGGCATTTCGGACTTTGTGAGCATATTGAATAATGCGTGGATGTGGAGCAGTATCACGGAGAGCTTTAAAAATGTTGACGGAATATGACAACGAGGTCAAAAATAGTCCAGCTGAACAAAATGGCAAAAGTGTTTTGTGAATTCGTCACATACATTGTATCTAGAGTAAAGAGGATTTCTCAGTGAGCAAGCCAATGGCCAATTTGGGAGTCCCGCTCTCAAACAATATTCCAGGATTGGGATGAAAGGTGACACAGTTCATCCTACAACAGCCTTATGTGACTAGGGTTGGGTTTCGAAACGTGAGAACCCTGTTAGTGCTCGTTGACACTACCTGCTTGTCATCCTCAAGTCCCGCTACTCTTGACCATATGCCATCGACCTATTAAGATGAAGACGATGAAATGCCAATTTGACGCATAATGGGGA